AAGTTCGACCTGGAGCTGGCCGTGGAGCAGCAGCTGGGGGCGCAGCCGTTACCCTTCCCCGGCATGGACAGTGCGTGCGGGCACCGGGCGCGGCGCGGCTTCCTCCTCCCCGGGGTGCTGGGGGTCGGCTCTTGTCCCCGTTCGAGGGGCTGAGGTCGCGTCTGGGCTCCCGCCTGGGAGGACCCCGGGTTTGGCTGAGGCGGGAGGGAGGGAGAGAGACAGACAGAGAGGAAGGAAGGACGGACGGAAGGGAGGGAGAGAGGAAGGTTTTGAGAGTCTGAGCGCCTTACTCAGGTCACCCTTAGTTCCACCCAACTTCTGTTTTCCCTCTGAGACTTGTGTCTCAATCCAGGTGTTTTTCTTTCCTACTTACTGAAACCTGTAGTTAGTTACCAGTCACGCTGGAATATGAAAGTTGAGACGTTATTGTGAATAAACAACCCTTTCTTTCACAGTACTTTATTATTATTTTTCATTCCCTGTTGATAGATGAGGCATTTTAATAACAAAGACGCCAGGTATATCTCTAGCCTGGTCTCTGAAGCTTTGCCTGCAGTCTAATAATCTGACACAGGCGGTCTCAGGAGACTTGGGGTTTGCTGAAATTTTCTGTCTGGGGCTACTAAACTTGTGGTCTAATCCCTTTGAATGTTGTGATACCTGTTGGTCAGGATCAGCAAGAGATAACATGCTAATGGTTGTTTCAGGGTGTTCTGGTCAAAAGATACATGGCTGTTTTCAGGACTGTAAATACAGGGTTCACTGACATGATTGACTTAACAGTAGAGGAAAACCCTGTCAATAAAAACTGAATGTCTGAAAAGCAAAACAAGCACCACCAAACCTTTGTAAATTCTCCTTGGTGTCCCCCAAGAAATTTGCGAGGGCCGGACACGAACAAGGATCTTGTGCAGGAATAGTAAATTCCCGAAACCAAAACGCTGCTTTACTTTTGATGTTGAGGACCAGATTGCCTTTTTGGGGAAGGAAATACTTTAAAAGCTGTTGGGAAATTTCAAATTAATCACATTTCTTTGTTCTCCCTGCAGAATCAGGCGCGGCTGTTTGTGAATTCTTTTTAAAAGCGGCCTGTGGAAAAGGCAAGTAATATTTTCAGTACAATTGTGCTCACTGCGGGGAGGTAACTAGATCTGTTAGCAGTGTCTACAGCCTCTTTTTGGTAAAGATGAGGGGATAATCAAGATAGAGGATAAAATGAAGGAATAACTGCAGCAATTGTGGAATAATGGTATTTTTTAAGAAGTTGGGAGGTGAATAAGCAAAACTTCTGGTAAAGGAAAGTTTGAGTTATCACGTCAGACCTTGCTGTGCGTGTGCCTGTATTAGTTGCTGTGGTTGCGGATGCCAGGATTAAGAGCTGGTGGCTATATTGTTTAGATCATTAGAGGATAACATCAGACTTGTCCCAGGTGGCAGTTGCCACTAAAAGGAAAAAGTGATGTCTTCTGAAACTCAACGGAGTGTTGCTATTGCTCTGTGCCTTCTTGTGCAGCAGGTTTTAATTGTTCTTTTATTCCTTTCTCCTTGCCCCATCCTTGTGCAGGTGGCATGTGCCCCTTCCGACACATCAGCGGGGAAAAGACGGTTGTTTGCAAACACTGGCTACGAGGACTGTGCAAAAAGGGAGACCAATGCGAGTTTCTGCATGAGTATGACATGACCAAGATGCCCGAGTGTTACTTCTACTCCAAATTTGGTAAGGGGCGTTGTAGCTCGTCCTTAGCGTTCTTTGCTAGCGTGGGAGTCTGGCGAAGAGGATCCTGGTACATCCCTCTCATCCGTCTTCAGAGCGTTGCAGTTCTTCTGTGTCTGATGATATTGTTAGATCGCAGCTTTTCATGTCTGTCTAGCCCTTCGCCTTATTATCCCCCTAAATTTGTGTTGTAGATGTCCTCTCTCTCAAGAGCTTGCCCCTTGGGGGAAGAGGGGGGAAGTTGAAGTTTTTTACTGGGTTTTATGCCTTATGTTCTGTTTTGGGGTATCAGAGAAGGAGGCTGAGCAGTTGGTCTTTGCATGACACTTTTTTTTTGGGGGGAGCTGATGAGCAGCAGAGGGCATGGGGGTGCAAAACTTTTATGCACTTGCTTTCCAGCTCTGGAGATCTGGACATAATGAGGCAACTTGCTGTCAGAAACTTACAGTCTTGTAGGTTTCCTTGGATTGAGGTTAGTGTGCAATTTGTAGTTTCTCCACGCTTCTGGTGCACTAAATGTTGGGGTTTTGTTATCATGACTGCTCTTTCAAATTTAGTTTCCGCATTGTTTTTTAAAAGAACACGTAAATAATCCAGTCTGGTAGAACTCACAAGGGATGAGTCCTTGGTGTTTTTCGTCTAGGTTAAGGCAGGCAGTAAGACTGTTGTGCCTGAACTTATAAATGTTGGTTAGAGCTTTGTGGGAGCTACGTGATCCAGGTAATGTTTTGAGAGTCATTTGATCTCAAACCTGCACCAATGTCTGAGAAGTGTGTTTGCCTTTGGTACAGGGGAATGCAGTAACAAAGAATGCCCATTCTTGCACATTGACCCGGAATCTAAGATCAAAGACTGTCCCTGGTATGACCGAGGCTTCTGTAAACATGGTATGTATGGCACGCAGTTGCAGTTCTTGTGGCTATAAGTCAAGGGTAGGGTGTTGCTGTTCTTTCTTTGCGTGATCAACTTGTGTGCGTGCTGGTGTGCGTACGTATGGAATGTGAACTACTGAGCTTTGCGTTGCAGGTCCACTCTGCAGGCACCGGCACACTCGAAGAGTCATTTGCGTGAATTATCTAGTAGGATTTTGTCCAGAGGGGCCTACCTGTAAATTCATGCAGTGAGTATGCTTCCAGGCTTGTCCTGTCATCAGTCCTGTGTCTGGAGTATGTCAAATGCGGGTGCTCCAGTGCTTCCCAATGGCTTTGGCGATCTGGCCAACGTTTGGTTTGTTGTAACGGTTTGAGGATATGGGACAGGGCCTCTTTAGGGGTTATCAGTGAGATAGGAATGGTGATCGGATGCCATTAGTGCAGTGGGGTCACATGGGTTCATATTCCAGAAGACCTCACAGGTAGAGGGATATGCTACACGCTGGACTGGCATTTGCGTATGTGTAATGGCTGAGCATCAGAATGCAAAGAGAAGTGAGAAGTGGGAGATCTATTTCCTGTGAGCCAAATTTAATTGGCTGAATGCTTGTTTTGTTTGGAGGTACTTGACTGAGCTGATGGTATAATGTTGGCATGTGATTTGAGAATCAATTTTCTTGTTTCCATCTAAACCAGCCCTCGGTTTGAACTGCCAATGGGAACCACAGAGCAACCACCCCTGCCTCAGCCGACACAAACACAGCAAAAGGTACACAATCCCCCTGCCTCCCCTCCGCACCCACTCTCGAAGCATTTCCCACAGTGCTTTAGAAGAGGGTGTGTTGTCTAGTGGTCAGAACTGGACACCTGGGCTCTTGGATCCATCTTGCTGAAAAGCCTTGGAGGAAATGTTCACTGAACGAGGGAAAACCTTTCCTATTCTGCAATAGGGTGTAATTAAGAACTTGAAGACAAATCCTAATAAACCACAAAGCACTGTCCCTTCTCTCCTCTCCTCCCAACCCTCTAATGTCCACCATCTGACTGCAATGGACTGCTGCTGCCTTTGTCTTTTGCTTTGTTCTGTTTCTCCCCTCACCTTGGTTAACATTCTCAAGTCATTAGCGCTGCCCTCCAGCTCCAGTGGCAGCTCTGTTGCTTGGGGCCCTGCCTTGTCAGGAAGGGTGCTGTGCGAGAATTAAGCAGTGACCAGCCCTGAGTGCCACTGTGGTGATGAAAACCCTACAGTCGCTCCAACTTTACACGGAGATCTAGTCACAGAACACTCCCACGTTACATAGAAGCACCTCGTATGTGGTTGTGCAGCAATCTGCCAGTTTTTGTAATCTGTGTGACATCTCTCGGTGATGGCAATGATATTTTAGCAGCCTAAACCTACTCCCTAAATCTGCTTTCCAGAGAAAAGCAGGATCTCTGGGCTTTGTAAGCCTCAGTGCTTGATTTCTTCTCTCTGGTGCTCCAGCTGGTAGGGCACCCACACACAGATTTGGAGGAAAATTGATCATTTGATATGTGGGGTGCTCTTTTTTTCCCTTCTTAACAAAATAACAACCATAAAGGCCTTTATCTTTGATGCACTTAACGAATCAAAACTCTTCTAACCTACAGAGAACACCCCAAGTCATCGGAGTCATGCAGTCTCAAAATAACAACAGTGGGAACAGAGGACCCCGGCCGTTGGAGCAAGTCACCTGCTACAAGGTAATTCAGAGGGGAGGGACAGGGGAGGGAAAGCCGAGGGTCCTAGATTTAAGAAGTACAGAGTGCACGTCGCTGGAGTGCACGCTGCTGCCTTGCTGCTGGTTTGCATGTCACCTGGACTCTCATCCCGCTGGTTGTTTGTCACAGGCAAAGGGACGGACTGCTGTGATGAGGGGTGTTGGTCCTGCAAAAGGTCTTTTCACAGCGCAAACAGGTTCATGAAATGTGCGCTCTGCTCAACAGACGTTGCCTTTTGGTGCGTGGATGCTGCTGTGGGAATTAGCATGGAGTTCTGAGGCTTCTAGGTCACTGGTTTGTCAGCTCACGGACTCGCTGTGGCAATTAAGGCTGTTGTAGGATAGAATTTGCTCGTCTGCTAAAGAACAGGGAGCCCTACCACAGTGGCGGTTAAAGGAGACTGAAAAAGTGCACGTCTCAGCATAAGAGCTAATATTAGTTTTGTCTCAGGAGTTAATTTCCTTACACTTGGGAATTGTAGAAGGATTTTCTTCTACCCTTTTGGCATGGAAGATCCTTGTGAGTAACACAAACTGCATCTGCAAAGACCGTTCAGTATTTCGTGCACCCCATGAAGGTCGAACCATGAGCTATTCTCCTTCGTTTCTCATTGAGAAGCACTGGTAAAACTCTGAGCCAATTGAGGTTTCATCTCTGGTGGTTTTTCCACAAAAGTCCCAAAGCCACTAGAAAAGGGCAAAGAATCTACCTGTTTCATCAGCTTTGAGTTACATCGTTGTACACGCCAACTTCTGTGCCTTAGGTGCTTGTTTGGGTAAAAATTACTGTGACTGGACAGGGATATTGGGTAGTTAATCCCTTGTGACACCGTGTTTTGCTTCACCTGCTAAACGCCGCATCTTCCACACACGGAAAAGCTTCTAAATCAGAACAGGTGCCGGCTACCCTAATAAAGGCAGCTAGAGGCAGGGGAGGGGAAAAAAGCTGCAACTGTGTAATAACTCCTCTCTCTCTTTCTTTCTCTTTTAGTGTGGTGAAAAAGGTCATTATGCCAACAGATGCACCAAAGGACATCTGGCCTTTCTTAGTGGACAGTGAAAAGAGCAGAAGGAAGAGTGCAAGGGAGCGATTAACGCTGAGAGAAGGTTTCTGCCTTGCACTATGTCGTGAACTATTAATCAGGTTGTTTATTAATGCCATTACTGAAAGAACTGGTCAGAGGCTGGCTGCTGTCAAGCAATGTTTTTTGTAATTGCCCACAACTTTTTTCTTATGTTTTAACCTTTTTAAAACAGATAGTTGGCCTCGACCTATTTTCATTGAGCCCTGCTAAAAGGTAGATCTAAAACCAAGTAGATAACGCAACCCCCTCACCGGTGCAGCACTCTACGTAAGCTCATCTTATGCCAGTGTTTCTTTAAAGTGTTTTCCTTCTGCCACTTCTCTTTGGAGAACCTGCAGCGTTTCAGCCCTCCCTGTGAAAGCAGGAGGACTGACTGGGAAAAGTAAGACTTGAAATGCCTTCCCTTCAGTGAGGAAGCAGGGAATCTGCTGTCCCGTAGCTCTTAAAAAGCAAAGTTGTGTTCCCAGGTCCAGCCTGGTGTAGTCAGTAAAGCTTGCCCCGATGGCCGATTTAACACATCACGTACATCAGGCTGTAAAATTTTCATCCACTTGCTTTGTTTCTGTGCTTTCTATACTGAAGGTTAGAAATTAAATCTTCTGGGTGAGAACTGACCAAGGGGAGGATAAATTGGCATCTCCGTGCGTAGCCAAACGATGAGGAACAGTGGTCGTAGGAAAGCTGCATTTGTGCTCGTTTTCCACGTGCAAAAAGCAAGGAGGGAAACGAACGTGGATTGAGGAGCAGGAATAGAAGAGCTTTGTCTCAGCCCCCCTGTTGTCTGAGCTCACACTGAGCAGGTATTTCCGTAGCCTAGAGAAGACTAAGAAATGGAGATGCATGTTC